CTCAGGAACTCACAGTTCTACCCTGTCCCAGAAGGATCTCTTTGAGTTGGCATCCATTCAATGGCAGTGAATTTGGGGGGCGGGGAGGGGTTGGCAACAAGAAGCCCTGTCTTTCTCCCAAGAGCTATTAAAGTTGGCTTTAAATAGACTTTGTTCCCATATACGTGGTAAAACCTCTCAACAGATGCTTCTCAAAGGGTTGTCCTGGTCTGGTCTGAAGCACACCCATTGAAATATTTAATGCAAACACACAAACATGATATTTTTAAAATAGTGCAATTGCCCTTCAGATACCCCAGACTGAATGGGGTATTAACAATGTCACCATTCAGCAAGCTGATCGGCAGAAGCTGGGCTTTTTTCAGATGTTCTCCCAATAAGGAAGAAAGGGAAGAAAAGAGCTCGCCCAGGAATTTAGAATCTGAGTGCTTGCTCCCTCCTTGGAAAGCAGTCATTGGCACAGAACTGACACCCTTTGTGAGAGCAGATAGACTCACTTAACTCCATCGGAGTGACTGGTGGATTTGAACTGCTGATCTTGTGGTGAGCAGCTCGATACCTAACCCTCAGTGCCACCAGGGCTCTTCAGTTCATTTACATTTTACATCGATGGTCCTCAGAGTCACATCCCCACCCTCCTATCCCAGTTCTTCCATTGACCATATAACCTAGATCGTGGAAGTTTCCAAAACTGCAGGCTCCTTGCCTGCATCCAGGCAGGTCTGGCTCTCAGCGACCCTACAGGACAGGGTGGAACGGTCTCTTTGCAGGAACTGTGGTTGTGAGGTCCTGCTGAGTTGACCCTAACTCATAGCAACCCCGTGTATGCCACCATCTGGTCCTGCACCGTCCTCACACTTGTTCTAATGTTTGAGCCCATTGTTGCAGCCACTGTGTCAATCCATCTTGTTGAAGGGCTTCCTCTTCTTCATTGGCCCTCTAGTTCACTGAGTACCTTCAGAAAATTGTTATTAATTGGGAGTTAATACATATGTCATTCCACAGTTCAATCACACCAAGCAGTATTGTACAATTGCTACCGCCAACAGTTTCCAAACATTCTTTTTCTTCCTGGACTCCTTGATATCATCTCCCCTTTACAGCCCCCCCAAACCCTGATTCTACTTGCTGTCCCTATAGGTTCATCAATCCTGGGTTTCCTAGACTGAAAAACAGAAAGACATAACACAACTTCAGGAGGGTGATCCCCAATAACATGACACCTCTGAGACAAACCCTAGGATGAACAAACAAAAACAAAACAAGAATACAGAAAATGCTGAGAACCAGATCAGGTCCAGCGTGCACCAGAGGGGGGTCGACTGACAAAAGGGTTAACTGTTCAAGTTAGAGATAGCCCTTTCATCTCCTATCCTCATCTCTCCAACACTCTCTGATTATAACCACTTTCCGCCCATTCCTCAATTATGGACGGAGCGAGATCACCAGAGGCTTATTTCCTATATAATTCCCACAAATGTATCTTGGGCTCCCACTGTCAACCATAGTCTTCTGCAAACCGGATTCTCACAATTAGGCGGATACTAAGCCTTCCTTCGACTTTGGATATGATTTACAATCCTTCAGTGACTGATGACGGTGCGCTTCTTCCACGTGGACTTACTTGACATCTCACTTAGGTGGCTGCTTGTTTGGAGACAAGTATTTAAGTCCCCAGGCACTACTTTATCTGTTAGCCGGGCACCATCTAGTTTCTTCACCACATTTTGCTACAGCACCCATATCTTCTGTGTTCCCTTCCTGAGGGTGAGTATCGAGCCTGAGCCATGATGCAAGAACTAACTGTTCTTAAATTGGAGCTAGGATATATTGTGAGCCCCAAACCCATTCCTGGATCTGTGTTTTTTTGTTTGTTTTTTACCTGCCTTTGGCTCCCTTTCAAAACCTCCCTGTTAAGTTATGGTAGAGAGGTTTTTTGTTTTTTTTTATTAAAAGATCATTTTACTGGGGGCTCTTACAGCTCTTATAACAATGCATACATCAATTGTATCAAGCATTTTTGTACATATGTTGCCATCATTATTTTCTAGACATTTACTTTCTTTTTTTAAAATAATCATTTTATTGGGGGCTTGTACAACTCTTATCACAATCCATCTGCATCCATCCATTATATGTCAAGCACATTTGTACATGTTGCCGTCATCATTCTCAAAACATTTGCTTTCCACTTGAGCCCTTGGTATCAGCTCCTTATTTTTGTCCCTTCCTCCCTGCTCCCGGTAGAGAGTTTTATCGATTATCTTCCTGGGGTATAACGATGTTCAATTAATATTGTCTTTGATTAGTCCCTACTGATTTATTAAAGCCCCGTTGCTAGAGGAACATTGGGCCAATGTAGGCTAACTCCATATCACAGTACCTGAATTATTTATTTTTACAGAATCAATACTTTCATGGCTGGATGCAATTTACACAAACAATGGGGGTTAATTTTCAGGGAAATTTACAATAATCACTGAGAATGTCCTTCACAGGTTTCCCGGAATAATGTATATCTTAATGCAGCGTATCAGGCATTGATGCAGCAAGACCATGTTTGTCTGCCTACCAGCAGTTCAACAATCTTAGTACAGCCATCTCCTGCTTCCTCAGACACCATGTGTTTTCCGACCTAAGTCCTCAGGTTACTAGTGTGTCTGAGGTGGAGTCCAATCACCCAGTGGAGTTTCTGCATGGGCTATCACTGATGCAGCCTCTGGAACATGCCATGCCCCTTGAAGATCCAGGATTCAGTGTCCCACTGTTCCATGGCACATGGCCTCAGTCCCCAGGATGCACTCTGAGGCCCAGTCAATGTGGCCCATTCAGTGTATACCACCCATAACCCCCGAGGGTCCACCCAAACATTTTCAGTCGTCTATCCCCTAGCTGTTAGCCTACCAAAAGACATGCACTTGTGTCCCCCCATTGTGTTTGCTCCCTTCCCCTCTCCTGGCTTGTTTTTTTTTCCAATCGGTACCCTTCATCCCTCTGGGACGGTTGTCTGCCTGTCTGGGAGTTATCTCAAAGCATGATGTACTTTTCCAGGGACTGTTCTCTCCTGACAATATGTCCAAAGCACATGAGAGGAAGTCTCACCCTCCTGGCCTCTACGGAGCATTCTGGCTGTGCTTCTTCTAAGACAGATTTGTTTGTTCGTTTGGCGGTCCAGAGGAGCCCTGGTGGTTCAGTGGTTGCTCGTCGGACTGCTAACTGCAAGGTCAACAGATTGAAGCCACCAGCCACACCCCAGGGGAATGATCCGGCTTTCTAATCCTGTGAAGAGTTACAGCCTTGGAAACGCACAGGGGCAGTTTTACTTTGTCCTGTGTGGTCACTATGAGTTGACAGCTACTCATCGGAGGTAAGTGAGATTGGCAATCCAGGGTACTTTCCATTTCTTTGCCAGCACAGTGGTGATTTTAAACGACAGGCCTTGTGGCCAGCAGCCCAATGAACAAGAAACTCTGCCACGAGGGCTCCTTCTTAAACCTATAATTAGCTTTCTCTTCTTTTGTTCAAACACTACAATTTTTCTTCTTTGTACTACAGCTCGGATAAGACCCTTTTTCCTCACTTGACCTCCATAATGTTTAAAATGGAGTTTATCTCTAGTGTTCATTCTACAAACGAAGATGTGCATGCCCAGGTTCCAAGCAGGCTGTCCACCAGGCCTGGAGAGCAATTTGGAGAGCTGCATTCAGATACAGGGTGGGGTTGTATGGCGGACGCTCCCTCTCCGACTAAGGAGCCACTGGGTGTTTCTGATCCAATCCACTGCCACAAGAGGACAAATCTGGTGGTTGCTTCTGGGAGGGATGGAATGGGAAGATGTTAGGTGAGATAACTATTCCCAACAGGAAAACAAAGGCCCACTTTAGATCGCTGGTGGCATCTGCGGTGAACCATCGATGCGTCCTTTCCTGGTCTGTCCCGTCCAGCAGGAGATGTTTCTGGGAGCCCATGTTTTTCTGACGCTGCTCTTGCGACCCTTTAATTTCGCCTTATGTCACACTTGTCTCCGTGGTTCCCGCTTTTCATCTGGTCTAGCCCCATTTGTGAAGAAAGAGCTACAGCCTGGGAAACCCGCAGGGGCACCTCTACTCTGCCCTGTAGGGTCGCTACGAGTTGGGGTGGACCGGATGGCGCTGGGAGAGTGGGCCCTTCTGTAGTTAAGCCCCCCAAACCCTACGCAACATAGCAGCCCCTATAGGGCAGAACAGAAGTGCCCATATGGGTTTCCGATACTGTAACTCTTTAAGGAGCGGACAGCCTCCTTGTGCAGAGTAGCTGGTGGATTTGACGCACAGCGGCCTTAGAGGACACAGTAGAATTGCTCCCGTGGGTTCCCGAGACCGGAGCTCCTTACGGGACTTTCTCGGAGCTGCAGGTGGATTTGAACTCGTGACCTTGGGTTAGAACTCCAACGCCTGACCCGCTGCATCACCAGACCGCTTCTCAGTAGGCAGCACCGAGGGTGTCAGGGCGCGGCAGGGCAGCGTGGGGACCCGATTTGTGGATGTGCTTGAACCCTAACTGCTTCGGGTACTTCCGTTTTCCGAGGCGCACCGAGAACCGCCGGGCCCAAGATTGTCCCTGCGGCTTCGGAGCTGGTCGAAAGCGCTGCGGCCACAGCACTGATTCGCTCAAGGGGCTTCTCGTGCCCCAAAGAGTCCATCCCAACTCTGGGATTCCGCACGTCCGCTAACAATGTCACACACAACAGTGGAGACTCAAAGTCGCGGAGTGCAGACGGGTCAGCGGGATCCCCAAGCAGAACGACCTTGTTCCGCGTTCCCCCGAGGCGCCTGCCCCTTTAAGAAAGTCGGCCGCGCGCCAATGCGTCATCTCCCAGCAACCCCTGCGGCGCGGGCTCTCTCCCGGCGGCCCGTGCGCGCGCCGTGCGACGCGACGTGCTCGTGCGTCGCGGGGCTCCACCCCTCCGCTGAGGCCTGGCAGCCGCTGGCCTGGCAGTTCCCGCCGGCCGCCCGTGGCCGTGAAGCATGTTATCTGGGCCACGGCGGCCGTGAGCTAGCGGGCCACACCTTCCCAGCCTGCTGACGGCGCCGGACCCGGGCGGCAGCCATGTCCACCGGCTTCTCCTTCGGGAGCGGGACCCTGGGCTCCACCACCGTGGCCGCCGGCGGGACCGGCACGGCCGGTGGCTTCTCTTTCGGCGCCGGGACGTCGAGGTAACCGCGTGTGCTCGCGTTCCGGGCTCGGGCCTCCTTCCGGGCGCGGCCCCCGGGCGCCGCGGGCTGTGTCCGATGGCGGGTGACCTCAGGCGGGCCGACCCAGGGACGGAAATGCTGTCTTCTGTAAGGTTGCCGGAATGGACCTTCGCAACGAGCACAACGGAAAGCTGCTCCCCCGTAATCGCCCCTTGAATGTTAAATTTTTAAATATTAAAAAATAGTCTTAGCGGCGTGTTCTTCACGCCCTCGTGCAGGGTAGTCGTTCAATCACACTAAGAATTGGACAGTCATCACCACAATCAATTTCGAAGGCTTTTTTCTTGAAAGGACTGTGTTTTAATCCAGCCAGAGGTCAGCCTTCGTCAGGCTAGATGAAGACTTCGCCACCTGTAGCCTGAGGACCTTATGTTTTCAATAGCCCTTGCTAGCCTTCTCTGGTTTTCCTTGCCCCTTAGAATGAGTTGATTAGAAAACACCAGAAGCCCAGGGTTTTCTGTGTGCCCTGATTCAGTGATCCAGGCCTTCTGTACAAAATAAATCAATAACCTTTCCATTCCTCACTCCCAGGCCCCGAACATGGACACACACATAAGTGGCCGAAACCTTTCAAAGGAAGGTACCTACCTTTACTTCATGTGAAGAAGCGCTTGTGTAATTTCTGTTCTATGACTACTGGGGACAAAGAGCACTCCTGGTGAGGGGGGTTAGGTAGGCACTGGGCTGCTGAGTCAAAGGTCAGCGGTTCAAACCCACCAGCTTATCTTTGGGAGGCTGTCTGCACCCAAGACTTTCCGTCTCGGAAACCCTATGTCGGGTCACTCTGAGTTGGAATGGACATGATGGCATGGGTTTCTCACCTGGGACATTGGTGATCCCATGGTGAGATTCTCACCTGTCATGTGGGAGCTCACTTGCAGTCCCCATGCTTGTGCAGTGCTGTGATGTGGAACAGGTGTTACTGGGGGCTTCCAGACCGAGGTGGACTTTGCCAGCCCATGTGTTAGGTGTACGGTGAGTCGAATTGTGTCTCCTGAAGCTTGAGTTCATGTGAAAATATTTAAGATTTCCTGGTGAAAGGCCTGCACAGAGCCTGTGGGATAATAACCGTCCTGTTTGTGTCCTGTTGTGGCCATGGTGCAGAACTGGGATCATGGGGTCTCTTGGAGTCAGTGGCCAGCTCAGCTGGCAGCCAAGAAACAACAGCCTGTTCCACTTCATTTAAAAATCCCAAATGTGACTCACTAAGTTCTTTTTATACTCTAATGGGCTCAAACATAACAGTGACTAAGGATGTGTTTCCTTCTGTTGTACAAGTCAGAGCCATCTTGACAATGCTTAACAACAATGGGCCCTCATCTCAGTTTGAAAAACTGCTCCAGCCTCATGGGCCTTGTCTCAGTTCCTTGAGTGGGCTTGGCCAGCTTCCGTCCCACTTGTGGGCATTTCCCTCTTGTTAGGATGTCCCCTGTCTCCTATCCCATGGCCCTAGTTAATGCCTCCTTAGGTCTCTTCCCCAGCGAAGCATTTTCTGACTTGTCAGTCTCAAAGAGGCTCCACTCAACTCTTCAGTATGTAAAGTGCCTTTGAGCTATTGTTACCTATTGTCCCATAGCAGCCCTAGGAGGCAAGCTCTAGGAAATCATCTTCTGGTCTTTTAATAGATAAAGTGCTTGTGGAAGCTGGACATTAAGCAAAGAAGAACCCAGAAGTGGTTCATTTGAGTTAACAGTGCTGGCAAAGACTCTTGGAAGAAGTACAGCCAGACTGCTCCTTAGAAGCAAGGATGGTGAGACTTCACCTCCCATGCTTTGGACATGTTATCAGGAGAGACCAAAACCAACATTGCAGACCCGCTGCCATCAGGTTGACACTAACTCACAGTGACACGCGAGGGCAGGGTTAGACGGCCCCTTGGATTACAGGAATAGATAGCCTCATTTTTGCCCCATGGAGCAGCTGGTGGGTTCAAACTGCTGACTATGATTAGCAGCTCAAAGTGTAACTCATTACACCACTGGAATTCCTCAGGAGAGACCAAATTTCAACAAACTTACTGCCATTGAGTTGATTCTGACTCATAGCCAGCCTATAGGACAGTAGAACTGCCTCGTGGGCTGTCAAGACTAACTCACAGCCCCCACCCCGTGCCTCCAAGACTAACCCTTCACGGGAGTAGAAAGTCTTCTGTGGGGTGGCTGGTGGTTTCAAACAGCCTGCTTTGTGGTTAGCAGGCCAGTTAGAAACCTCTATGCCATCAGGGCTCCCTGAGAGAGACCAACCTCTGGAAAAGAGAAATCACGCTTGGTAAAGTAGGTCAGTGAACCAAAGAAAACCCTTCATGAGATGGATTGACACAGTGGCTGCAGTAATGGACTCAAACATAACCGTTCTAAGTTTATTGTCAGAACCAGGTAGAGTTCTGTTGTGAATAGGGTTGCAGTGGGTTAGAACCAAATCAATGGTAGAACCAAATCGATGGTGCCTAACAAAGACAACGTCATGCCTGGGGTTCCAGATCCTATTTGTTGGTGACTGATTGAATGCGTTGTCTCTCTAACTCACTGGAAATTCCACAAGGGCAGGGTCTAATCATATTTACCACTATGTCCTTAATCCCTCTGACAGTATCTGGTATCCAAAGAGAGTCCTGATAAATTCTTGTTGAATGGATCAATGAATCACTTGGTGATAAACTTGAGAAGAGTTAGCATCAATGAATGACCTGCAAAAAATACCTGCATGCCAACTTGCTGGTATGGAGATGTGACAGCTCCTAAGGCCACTTGATAAAGTTGTCTCTTTCAGTTAACCATTTTGGGTGACTTACTCTCCAGGCCCCAGTTCCCACATTTAGAAAAGGTGCTTATTAAAAATAGCCGTATCTTAGAGGTTCACTGAATGAGATCTAGCATGTGAAGTTTCTAATATCATGAAATGTCCCTTGGTAAGTGCAAGTCTGAAGTTAAAATCCACTGCCATCAAGTTGATCCTCACTCAGCCACTTTATATAAGGTTTCTAAGACTAAGACTTTGAACCACCAAGCTGTGGTTGGCAGCCCAATGCTTATCCCACAGAACCACAATTAAAGCAGATGAAACAAAACCCCCAACTACATCGCTATCAAGTCGATTCCAAATCATACCAATTCAGAGAAGAACTGTCTTCCAAAGCTGTGATTGTTAGCGAAGCAGACTACATTTTTCTCCCTCAGAGCAGCTAATGGGTTTGAACTACCAACCTTTCTGTTAGCAGCCAAGCTAACTAACCACTGTGCGAGTGGGGCTACTGTAAGGCAGGCTGGAAAACTAAAATTACATTTCTGGCCAGATGTAGTCAGCTTTGCTGCCCTGTGTAGTACATCCTATGGAATCACCAGCAGGTCATACTCTGTTGAGGCAACAATTGGTTGGGTTTAATACGGCTTTTTTCTTTTTTCGTCTATGTAAATTTCACTGTCAGAAATTTCTTTGCTGGCTCTCCTCTTACAGTAAGAAGCTTTTCTCTTTGATGTTATTTAGGGTGCTGTCAGCTATGTTAATGAAGCACAGGGTCTTAGACATAGTCAAGAAATTTAAAAATTTTAATTGTCTAAAAATGAACACCCACAAAAATAAAATAAAAAAAAACACTTCACTGTACATCTTGTATTTCTGTAGCATACAGTTCTAAAAAAAGGGGGAATCATTAATTTGGGAGTAGTAACCTTTTTTTAATTAGAAGTTAAATTTAATAACCATATTTTAAAAATAGGATGTCTTCAAATTTTGTTGATATTTCATAAAATATCTTTTTACTCATTCAGTTGATTAACTTTGTAAAGTTCTATGCCAACATTGCTCGTAGGACTTCCTGCCTTCTGCCCTTCAAAGATAATGTCCATACAATCATGCTGTAAATCAAGACACACTTATGAGACTCCCCCCTCACTGTTTCTACTCAGCATTAATGACCCACTTCAGGCTCTACTTCCTTAAGAGCCCCTTCCTCTCCATTCTCCTCAGAGTGCATAGTTCTTTACCTGATTTACTTAAAACCGTTGACCAGTAGTAATCTGCATATAGTGATTGTAAACGTATAGTTGCTTCTTGAATCTGTACAGTACTGCCTTCTCCCTAAACCTCAAGATATACAGAATCCAAATGGTTCCTTGGACGGGGTATGCAGGTGATGAGGTTCTCATTCAAGTAACTTGGAGGACTAGTCTGCCTGGGTCAGTGTTCAGTTTGCTATCCTGTTCCTCTGCTAAGCAGCGTGTTCCTTCCACACAGGCCCTATTTGAGTCTTCTTGCTCACTTCACTGGTATCAAGCCTTGTACAAATGTGTTTAGGTAGGTTCATAGTCGTTAACAACACTGATAGTAATGCTGAATTTAGTTTACCTTGTACCATGTCTTAATCTTTACTTAAAAACCTGGTGCAGTGGTATTTTATTCCCATTTTGTTATCAAAATGGAGAGTGGCAGAGCTGTTTCAACACTGGCTTCCCCCGTGAATGGAAAACATCTCAGAACTCGGAGACACTTTGCAACCGACATTGGGCTCTCTCAAGGTGACTAGCCCACCATGGGTAGGCAAGGAGAGAAAGAACGAAGATAAATGCACAGTATAAGTGTGGTTCCTGTTACAATCGCTCACGCTGAGGTCATGATTTGTCCTCTTACTGAGATACAGATAGCATATGGCAGGTTCTGAAACCTGAGAAGACCATTTGGGAAGTCCTTAATTTTCCAAATTAAATTTTTTATAATTCAGCTGCTCATTTTAAGCAATCTGTAGTGAATTTCTGCTGATGAGAGGGTCATTTTACTTTGTGGCTCACTCTTTAGCATATGGCCCTCACTCCAGCCCCACAGTTCACGGTTGCCTTTTTGTTGGGCAGATAACCTGCCACACACGTCCCTTCATGACTATGGTAATGAACAAAAGAGAAGCGGAGAAGAAAAAGTAAGACTTTGTATTTCTGGATTTAGTTTTACTTTTCTTTATATTGTTACTTGGGGAAGAACAGACGAGTTTTAAAACTATAGAGAAGTCACTCAGAGAGCTTCGTAGGATTTCTAGGATTTTAAATATGCTGGAATTCAGTCATAGAAACAAACTGGAGAAGGGCAGACTATGTGTGGTCCTGCCTGCTTAGGGTCCAAGCAGATTGTGTTTAGTCCTGGTTGCTGTAGACTATTCTTAATGCGTGCTATCTTTAGAGAATAATTTTATACACTGCTTTAAAAAAGTGCCAATATGAGATGGCGTGGCCAATGGTGAACTTTAAAGCCAAAGTGTGAAGGTAAGAGGGCAGGGAGACCAGACCAACTGAAACGGACGGGCCAGAATGGAGACGGTGCGCATGCTGTCTGAAGATTGCTACCACTGTCTTCCAACGACTTGCAGCCATGGTTGGTAGGGGAGCTGAAACTCAGAGGAAACCTTCCCTGAAAACAGTAACATCTTATTAAAGAATAGAAACAATGTTTTGCAGACACGTGTATTTTTAAGTAGAACAGAAAGATTTGAACTTGGTTAGTTAAAGGTAAAACTAATTGTTGGCCCATTTTGGGCCCCATGGAGATGTCTTAGATTAATTAAATAAAGGAAGTGAACCTGCAGACTTGATTTGCATTTTTGTGGCAGAGAGTTGATGGATTGTGTGTTTGTTTCTAAACCAGTAACCCTTCGGTGGGCCTCAATTTTGGGACTCTTGGAGGCACTGCAGCCCCTGCCACAGCATCTGCTCCTTCAGGTGGATTTGGAGCTGGGCTGTTTGGAGTGAAGCCTGCCACCGGGTCCACCCTCGGAGGAACAAACACAGGTAAGAAGGAATGTTCCCATAGTCTTTGCCTAGTCCTGGCCAGTATCTCCTCCTTTCCCAAGAATTGCCTCTGTAAAGAACAGAAGGGAAGACCCCAAAAACTGTCAGTACTAAGATGAAGAGAAATATGGGGATTCGATCTCTTCTTTCTTTTAGGTGTGATGAATTAGTCACTTGAAAGTTTTGCATTAGATTCTACAATACAGTGCATTGCAGTGTATTATAGTAAGGGTTGTTTCAGTCAAGTTTCCCAGTGTGGAGTGTTGCACAGTCACCACCCCACTTTGCTGTCACGTTGTCATGCACCCCAAAGAGCTTGTTTCCAGGGTCGTGGTTTAATGGGCAAACAACAGCAGGTGAAGTGCTTGGTTTCTGGTATGTACTTCAATTATGAAAAAAGTGTCCTTTGTTTTTATGACCCACAAACATTTTGTTATTGCCAGCTAAAGATAACACGTCCCTAGAAACCATTTACACATTTGCTGCTATTCTTTTTGATTTGTTAGCATCAGAGCCTTTTGGTCCTCTTCCTGCCAAAAGCCCTGTCCTTCAGGAAAAAGCTCCTCGGGGCAGCCCGTCAACCGCGGGAGCCGGCTCCACTGCCTGGACTGTGCCTGGAGTCACTGCTTTCCCTGCTTTCGTTTGGCCACAGCAGTGGAGGGTTTAGCTGCCTGTGAGTTGGTATTATGAGCCATAGTGATTCGTGGCTTATAAATCTTATTTGTGAATTAGTCAAATTAGTTGCAAACTGCAATATGAAAACCAGTGCTATAGTAAATATGTTTGCATTACGTATTACTAAGAAAGATCATTGTGATACATCTTGGTCTTAGAAGTGCCCTTACTCCCTGAAGGTGCTCCTAATCTTCCCCTTATGACAAAAAAGCCAGGGTGCCTCATTTTGCTGATTACATTTTATTTCTCTTTTTGTCCTTAGGAATAGCAACAACTATTTCTACAGGATTAACTCTAGGTAAGGTTATTAGAGGAAAGTCTCAGCTCTGTGATTTTATAAGAATTTACATGTGTTGAATGACCATTCCATAGTCTTTGTCTGATATGGTAGAACTGCCCTTGTGGGCTTCCAAGGTTGTTGGAAGCATCTTTGTGGGAGCAGTAAGCCTGTCTTTTTATACAGAAAGGCTGGTGGGTTTGAACTGCTAACCTTGTGATAGCTTATCTGCTAACCCAATATGCCACCAGGGCTCTGACCCACTATTTGAAGGTTTTAAAAGATCCCTGAATTTATATGCTTCTAATGATCAAAACATTTATTGAACTATAAAAACGGTTTTCATGTGGAAATTTAATCTACAGTAACTATTTTCCCAGTCATTTTTAAGTTCTTATGGATAAAGTAACAAATTTGAATCTTAAGTCTTGGGGTAACCCTGGTTCTAACACTCAATAGTGATAATCCCCGCTGGCTCCCCTCTCTCCTCCAAAATACTGAACAGCAACAAAAAAATCCATTGGCATCAAGTACATTCCAACTCATAGTGACCTGATAGTATAGGATAGAAATGTCATTCTTTACAGGCAGACAACCTTGTCTTTCTCATGAGGAGTAGCTGCTAGGTTTGAACGTTGATGTTTCGGTTAGCAGCCCAACATGTAACCCGACACACCGCCTGGTCTCCTGGGAAAAGAGGCATTATTTTGCTAGTGAGGTGAAAGAGAAGGAAGACAGCTTGATATGGAATTAAGAAAATGTGGCCGTGAACTTGAAATTGGACTGCAGTATCACTGCACTATTTGGATTTTCCGACACTTTCTTAACACGGCCACCTTTTAAGATGTTCAAATCTGTGATTCCCTTTTTGGAAACATTTTTCAAACTCATCTGTTTGGATGGCTGATAGCATCTCCCTCGTTTTTTTCTTCATCTCTTCTAC